CTGAGTATACTGAGTACTGACTGAAATTTTGAGGCTGAACATACTAAACTATTAACTTTATATGCATACATCTATTCAAACTTTCATAATTTGGATAAACATATCATACAATGATAACATCCATATTTGAGTTTGGAATCATGTACATTTTACTCGAAATCATGATAAAATCAAGACTAAGAAAGCAACTGCATAAATTAAACTAAGGAATGAATTTTAGCTAGGAATAATCATGTAAATTTAGGGAATTAACCAAATTTAAGGACTTTCTTAACTAACTGAAAACCCTAGCTTTAAATCTTCTGCAGGGCTAGAATTTAGAAATTTTTTTGAAATTAAATTGGGATAAAAGGGGGAAAGAAAACCCTTGTTGAAGTCTCACATACCTGAAGGAGAAACCCTGAGAACATTGCTTGGAGAATCTTAAAGAAGATGGATGCCCTAGCTTTTGCTTGGAACTAGCTATTTGAGTTTTCCACGTGCTATATCTATGAGTTCTGGGAGAGAATGAGAGGACGAAGTTGATCAACCCCCTAAATTTCCTTCTAATCGCACCCGAAACAAAGTAGTTTAGGCATTAAAATAACAAAAAGTTATAAAAATTCCCCTGGAGAAAAGTCTAAAAACTGCCCGTTGGGATCCAGCGGGTCGCACAATGAGTCGTTAGTTGTGACCACGACTTGGTAGGACCATTCGTTGGTCCTGGGTCTCAAAATTTTAGCTACTGGAACTAAACAACGAACGGGGACAAAGACCGATTTGATGAACCAATGGATCATTTGTTCCACTCGTTGTCACTAGGGAGATTTTGAACAACTTCTAGATTCCCCCAATGGACGGATAGGATGACCCGTCAGATGAAACAACGGGTCATTGTATCCAATCGTTGTCATTGGAGGGAATTTCTCACCCTTTCTAGATTCTTCCAATGGCTCAATAGGATGATTCATTCCTTCCATGACTTGTCACTGGGCTCATTGGTTCTGGAAAGTTTTTAACAAGCTTCTGGATGGACACCACGATCAAAACAATGACTTATTACTAGAAGCAATGGGTCATTGCGTCGCTCGTTGAACCTGGGGAAAGAATCTGCCATGACAATTGTTGACCGTCCTAACGGACCATTGTTTCTGACAACGGCTCGTCTGATGAGTCGTCCTGAGAAATTTTTTTCTAGTTTTCTGTTGTTTTTTCACCCCAAGTCTAGGATTTAGCTTTAGGAACTTTTGAAGTGTTATAATTTCAAGTATGGTACATTACATGATTTTTATTTCTAAACCTTGGGTCATTATGTTTAGCTCATGATGAATATCGCATGATCATGATTACTTCAGAAATATAGCTTTTAGCATGTTGTCCTTACTCTCATGATCCTTTTGATTTATATGCATGATTTTATGCTTGCGTTTTACTGAAATGTTTTACTTACCTTACATACTTAGTATACTTCAAGTACTGATCGCATACTCTATACTATATCATTTCATGATATAGGTTCAGTGATTCAGCTCAGTCTCGCTGATAGCTATTTTCTCTTTAGTCTAGTCCAACCCCTGTTTTTGGTGAATCCTCATTTTTCCAAGGACAATTAGTAGTTTTGCTTTGCGTGTTACTTTAGTTTGTCAGATTCTAGTGAGCTAGTTGTGGAAATTATCCCATCAACTCATCAAATATTTTATAGGCTTTTCAGACATTATGTAGATGATTCAACATGTCGAGTGTTGATTATGTTTTGGACTATGTTGTATTTCAGCCTTTCACTTATTCATGTTTAAGTTTTAAGTTTTCACTTTGATTTATGCTCTTAAGTTGTTATGCACATGCCATGGGTTGACTTGATTCTAAGCCTCATGTCTTGATCGGGGGTCCTAACTTGGGTCGTGACATTTCTAAGTTGCTAAAGAAATGAAGTTAGTTAGATATTGTACTCTCCCAACTTTATACCGACACCTTTTTCTCCTCTATACTTACTAAGATAACTTGATTTTTTTTTGCTAACTTCAGTATTTCAATTTGTAATTATTAATTTTCTTTTGCTAAAATAATAGTACTTTGAGCCGAGGGTTTATCGAAATTTTTTACCTCTGAGGCAGGGATAAAATTTGTGTATGGATTAGACGAATTATGTTATTTGTACAAATCAAAAGATATTCTATTTGTTGCTAAAAAATTTCCTCAGCAAATCTTAAGCCAAAACATATAACCAACAACCTGCTACATAAATATACTAGAAGTTGCCAAATTTATTTTAAAAAGCAATGAGACTTGGAAATTCATACGCAATATACCTGTAATCCCTTCCAGACATTTTATCAAATAGGTAATGGCCATTTTATATTGCCATATTAGATCCTGGTCATGGTTATTTCTAGTTATCCTTAACAAATACAATAGTTATGTTCTTTCAAGACGATGAGAACAGAAACTAACTTCCAAACCTTGTCAACTATAGTAATTAATTAAATACTATTGGAACGATAAAGTAGACCAAAGATTATGGACTTAATTTTTACCTTGTTCTTTGAGGCGGAATTGTATTATATAAATATAAATTATATCAAATTCATAGCTCTTTCAATTGATTAATAAGTAGAAGATTTGTAGCAAATTATTTTTCTGTCCAAAAGCATGAGAGTCCAACTTTTGTGCGTAACTGTTCCCGAAGGATGAAAAATATTAATCGGATAGTTTCTGATGAATGAAGCATATCAATCGGACAGAATAGGGAGAATTGGGAGAAGACACATGCTTTGGCACATATTTTTATATCAGCTATTAGTTTTTTAACACAAGTTAACAGAAGGATATTTATTTTAATTTTTTAACTAGTTAAAGAATGTTTTTTATTCACTATTATAGCATAAGGATGTACCTTAAGTTTGAGTTATACATCAGGGATGATTTTGGCCCAAAATTTCAAAGAAATGTTTATTTTCCTATCTTTTTCATATTTTTCTGATACGAGGAGGTTTCATTTTTAATTCCTAAATATTCATAGAGAAGGTCTTTTATTTCAACAAAAATATGAATTGTTTAGGAATCTTTCAATCACGGGGATAAAATTAGTGCTTTGTACTTATAGTTTACCTTGAATTTGATGATATATCTTCGTTAAACGAAGATCAACACTATGTTCACCCTAAAATTTAATTAACATGGTTATTCGTCCAAAGTTAAGACTGAGGTAGTTATAATTTTGACATGTTGGTTAGCTATTTATGGTAGGTAAGGTATGTTTAATAATTTGTAAAACTTAAATATCTTGGATGTCAATTCCTTATCAATGGAAAGAGGTAATTACATATCTTTAGGATTACAGGCCAAGATTGCACTACCAGATAAGTACATGAGAGTTTTCTAAGGAAGGGTGGCTAAAATGCAATATAGATAGTGCTTGCAGGGGAACCCTAGGTTAAGTTTTTATGGATTCTGTCTTAGAGACAGTGAAGTGGATTTGGTATTTTCAGAAGCACGGGAGATTGGATACAATAGTAACATGGTGGCAGAGGATTAAGCAGTTTGACATGCTCTTAAACATTGTCTAATACTAAGAAAAATATTATTTTAGAGACTGATTCTTTAAGTCTATAAGAAATGTTAAGAAAGGAATGGAGAGTACCATGGGAATTAATAGACACTACGAATGAGATTTTCTATATGATAACACATATATGTATAGAATTTCATCATGCATTCAGAGAAGCTAATCAGCTAGCAGACAGCTTGGCTAACAGTGCATTCAGATATATTGGCAGGAGGAGATATGAGAATTTTCAACAACTACCAATAGAGTGTAAAAAAATATTAGATACTAAGAAAGCACAAATACCACAAATAAGGAGAAAAATAAGGATAACGATATAAACAGCAAACCAACAAAGGGTAGAAACATAATTACAAAAATTCCCACAATGTTATATATATGAGCAGTTTCCAAGAGGTAGGATGGCCACCTAACCTAGGCTACTACATCAAACAAAAAAGAGATACCAGCAAAATAAAGTACTATCTGGTTGGATTCGCGATTCTTGACACCAAGCGAAATATCACCACAGAAAGAGGGCTAGAGCAACTCGACTTATCCATTACTGCGTTCATGGGGGGTAAATCACTTGGATCTTGATCGAGCACTTTATAAATAAAGGACAACATAAGATTTAACTGGGAAAAACAAAGAAAGATTAGGCTAGAAAGACGAGGAAGAGGAAACAAGGAATAATTACCTTTTTGAGATGCAGAGACTTCAACTAGGTTGAAGAGAGGAGGACAACTTATCACCCAAAGAAGAAGGCGAAGGAGCTTCATACTGATGAACGACGACATATCCAAAACCAAAATAAGAACCCTAGTTCAAATGTGAGCGGAGACAGCAAAGTGTTAGGGTATCTAATCTATTGTACTGAGTTTCAACATATCGACAATGTATTTATTTGATTATCAATAAATGAGCCACTGCTCAAATTTAATTTTTTTAAAAATGAGGGATCATGTTCATTTCTCCACAACTTTTGTTGGTGTACTTATGAAGACTTAAAAGAGAAGCGTATCATGCTAGAAATTGAGTTATGCTATTTTTATGAATCTGTACACTGAATACATGGGTACACTGAATACATGGATTAAAAAGTTCAACCAATAAATATTAAAATTTAACGAACTATAGACAATGGAACATAACTTAAACTACAAACCATTTGTGGGTAAGCAATTATGACTAAAAATAATAATAGTGAAACCTTTATATTTTAAATTTATACTTTAGTTATAAAAGAAAGAAAATAAAATAAAAATATGAAGTACAAATCACTTTGATTCAATCATACATCTTGGAATCAGCTTAAGTATTTCTTTTTCTTTTTTGTTTTCAACTCATTTTATCTAATTTATATCTAATCTATTTTTATGGCTTGGCCAGTGGGATAGTTTGAGCCATTCCCTTTTCTTTCGGATAGCAGATTGGGCAAACCACTAAAGAAAAAAATCTATTCAATTAGCAAAAAAGGAGAGAGAGGGATTCGAACCTCGATAGTCTTCAATAAAACTATACCGGTTTTCAAGACTGGGCTATCAACCACTCAGCCATCTCTCCGAAAGACTATTTTTATTTTATTCCTCCGAATAGAATATGCCATAGTGGATACCCTACTATCTGTAGAAAGATCTCAGGTGCGAATCCACCGATCGATCATTATCCTGTATATAGATATATGATCTAGCATGCCCATTTGTGAAATAAAAAGAAAATTCCAGTTTCCCACCACTCCATGTACGAATAAAGTGCGAAAGGGGGGTAGTAATAAGTCATATATAATCAATGATCATGATAAAGGAAACCCTCGATGACATATTTTATCACAATTAATATTTTATTACAGGATCAAATGGCATATATTCATTTGTTGTAACTTGGAGGATTAAAAGCATGACTTTGCTTTCCATCAGTTGTTTTTTGCATTAATGCTACTCACAATCTTATTGATTAGCGTACCCGTTGTATTTGCTTCTCCTGATGGCTGGTCAAGTAACAAAAATGTTGTATTTTCTGGTACATCTTTATGGAATACTAGTCTTTCTGCGGGTATCCTTAATTCTCTCATCCTTGAACCTATTCGTCGCAGACCCAAACCAAATTTTGATCTCTAATTTTTCTTGGTTGTAGACACATTAATTTGGAATCTAAGTCCCCAAAGAAAATGCAAATCAAATAAAGAAAACAAAAACTAGAGGGGGTCAAACTTCTTGAATAAAAAAGAATGGCAATTAAAAATACTGGAATCGTTCCGAAGAGAATATAGGTCCCGACACTGCACAAATAAGATCCGGTTATATATCATATGTGGTACATACTGTACTACGAACAAAAAAAGGTGGATATATTGAATGGTAAAATTTCTCTTTGCCAAGGAGAAGATGCGGGTTCGATTCCCGCTATCCGCCCAAGATCCAAGATAAAGTAATTTTTTGACATTTCTTATTTAATTTCATAAATAGCATTAAATATATCCTTAAATTAAAGGATTTATAATAGTTACTTATATGTAGATTCTATCCCTCCCTACGTTTTCTTTTCCTTCCAACCCAAAGCGAAAGGCGGGAAATTCACCTCATTATTAGGTCCCAGAGTCAACCCTAAAATAGTTTGGCAAAACAAGATGTTGCGGAGACAGGATTTGAACCCGTGACCTCAAGGTTATGAGCCCGGTGAGCGCTGAATCCGTCACCCGCGCCGTCGTAGTAAGAACTGAAAACTACCAGATAAACAAGATAATGTGCCTTCTACCCATTCAGGCAAACAGAATAGCCCATTTATACAGAATGGTAAAGGGGCTTATATGATCATCGACCATAGAAAAGAAACAGCAGACCTTACCACTGACTGTTGCTCTGGCAACATGCATGAACCATTTCAATGAAAGGGTCCGGATAGTCCAAAGTCTCGATAGTTAGCTCTCGGCCTCCTAGTCAAAAAAACAATACCAGATAAAGCGTGTAGGTGCACTATTCCGTGGTAGGGATTGTAACTTTCATAAATTTCCCATTTGTCACTCAACGATGGAACCTGTTTATTTTTTTGAGGATCTATTAATCGAATGATATTTCTGTTCCAATTTTTGCCCTTCTTCTCCCTCTGAATCAAACTTTTCCTTGCCATAATGGTTGAATTCTATTAGTATCCGCGATACAAGTCGAATCTCTAGATGTAGAAATAGAAGAAGCAGGACCCTCTCCGTCGAAAGAAATGAGATTATCGCGGATACACACATTAATTAACCACTGGCCTGACGTAGAGGCAATCAAGAACGCCGCATAAGTGAAGATATAACCCAGAAAAGTGAGCTAATCCAACCATCTGTTTGTACAATGGAAAGGCTACTGTTTATCTTCCGAAGAATCAAATTGGCCAAAGGTGTGCGTTCATGAGCCCATGCTAAAGTTTCAATCAATTCCTGCCAATATCCACGCCAAGAATTAAGAACACAACGTAGTTCAAACAAGATGTCGGTCTCAAATAAGAACATCCATGCCCAAACCGATAAACTATCATACCAAAAGTTATATCCATTGATAAGTTGTGAAGAGTTTAAACCATAAATAACTTACCCAGCCCATCAAATAAGTGGAAGATTCATTAAACTGTGAAACGTTACCCTGCCATAATGTGATGTGCTTCCAATGCCAATAAAAAGTAACCCATCCAATAGTATTTAAATATCCAAAACTGCCAAATAAAACGCGTCCCATGCCGAAATATCACAAGTACCTCCTCGTCCTGGGCCATCGCACGGAAAAATATAACCGAAATCCTTTTTATCTGGTACAACTTGGACCCACGCATCTAAAGCAACCTTTTACTAAGATCAATGTAGCGTATGTAAACCAAGAGCAATAGCATGATGAACCAAAAAGTCTCCAGGACCTATTGTTAAGAATAATGAATTAATATTTATTTAACAAGATTTAATCAACTCTACAACTAGATGCTTCGACCCGCATTGAATGTTACTACCTAAGAAGATAAAAGCATACTGAACCCATATGAAGTTTACCATGAGTGATTGTATCCATTGAGCAAATATCGGTTCAATCAAGATTTGTTTCTCCGGAGTGCCAAAGGCAAGCATGACATCATTATGAATACAAAGTCCCAGGGTATGGAATCCCAGAAAGAGGCTGGCCCAACTTAAATGAGATATGATAGCTTCTTTATGATCTAACATTCTTGCTAATACATTATCTTCATTTTGCTCCCGGATTGTAATCTCTAATGAAAAATATAGCTCCATGAGCAAAAGCTCCTGTCATGATGAATCCTGCGATATATTGGTGGTGGGTATATAATGCAGCTTGAGTAGTAAAGTTCTGTTATGAATGCATAAGTGGTAAAGTTATATATGTGTTGAGCTACCAACGAAGTAATAACCCCTAAAGAAGCTAGAGCAAGGTCTAATTGAAAATGAAGCGAATTGTTGATTGTGTCATAGTTCCGGTGTCCACGCCCTAACTGCCCCCCGGAGGAATATGTGCATCTAAAAGATCTTTCATAATTTTCAGCCCAATCCCGAAATTGGTTCTATACATATGACCAGCAACGAGAAAATAAATGCAATAGCTAAATGGTGATGGGCACTATCAGGCCAACATAAACCTGCTTCAGGATGGAATCCTTGGAGAAGAGTTGAATGGTCTCCTTTGCCCCTTGGCGGTACTGAAGAACACCATTTGAGTCGGGGTTTGAGCATAAAGATTCCATTGACCTGTAAAAAGTGGGCCTAACTCGCTTGGGGATGCGGTAATACATCTAAGAAATTATTCCACCGGAACGTACTCCCCTGGATGCAGGAATAGCAACATACCAAATGCCCTGTCCAAGCCAAGGAACTGGCGAGTCCACAAATGATTCGACGAGATTCGGCATTTTTGAACCAGGAAACGCTCGGT